GGAGGAGGGGGAGGAGAAGCATATACCGACACAGGGCAACCATTTTGAACCTGGCTAGCCTAGCAACGCCGCGCAATACTAGACTGCCTCAGCCATCGCCGGCACTTGCGATACTGAATCTCCAGACTGTGGGACGGGTAAATCGGTGGGTCTGTGGGGCCGTCTTTTGGGTGGGGCAGGGAGCACGACTGACAACTACGGCCGTTTTGGCCTCAGCAGAAGGGCGTCAACCCTACTGTAGGCCGCTGATTGCCGGACCCCTCGCTCTCACACCATAGGCAGCATGTCCTTCCACAAGACGCTAGCCCAATTACAGCGCCAACCCCATCCTGTCATGCCACTCTCTATACTGTCGTGATGTGCCTTTTCATTTTACCTTGCAACGCGTCGCACTCCGTCACTGCAAGGCTCGATGAACTATGGTGGGATGGGGATGTTTCTGTGGAGGACAAGGATGATCACAATTCTTGATTTGGTAGCGCAACCTCACTCGCCCTACCTCACTCTCTATGCGTCGCCTGTTTTTTGTTTTTGTTGTTGCATTTGTTATTTTCCTCATCGCCGTGTACATGTATTTCGTTATCTCCCTCGTTCGGTGTCCTCCGTAGTATGTCATTCATCTGACTATGTTCGTTTCGCCCCTTTATCTCTACTTCACCGCCTGGCTGGCGCATACTCAATGCCCTCGCGGGCCCACTGTCTTTTGCTTTGCCTCTCTCGCCGTTCTGATTTCCGCTGCGCCAGTCAAGCCTGGACTGTTTGCCGTCAGGCCGAAGTCGGCCACATCACGTTTCTTTCCACAGCCACAAAACGCAACGATCCAAGATCTATGTCCGTGCAACGTCAACAAAGGGAGGAGAAGGAGGAGGGACCAGGGGGGGGGGGGGAAGGTGAGCACGAGAAGGAGGGTGAGCGACAGGAGGAAAAGGAAGGGGAGGATGAGGACCAGAGCAACACATACCAACACTGCAGCAGCACACCCTTTCGTCCCAAGCCCCCTCTCATGAGTCCATGCAAGCACCCTCTTTCGCTGCGAAAGGCGCCTCCCTGCGAGACGAGCGCTCCATGGGCCTGCGATGTAGGTAGGAACTCAGTTTCGACAAAAACAGCCCTCCACCCTTCGAGGTGTAAGGGGTGCGACAAGGTAGGGTCATAACGTTGAAAAAGGGGAGCCCAGGGGCGCCTCAACTCGTGCGGCTGTTGCGCAATACTCGATTTCTTGTCGTACTACCAATGTCGATTGGCATCGCAATCTCATGCCGCCGCCCGGGTGTATGCAAACCTACAGGCTGCAATCAGATCGAACGGGAATCTGGAGGGAGGCAATCCCCTGCTGGGAGCGCTGCGCTTCTGTGTAGAGCAAGGACCGCTTGTAGTCTTCGTGGAGCTGCGTTGCCGACATGGCGACCTCGCTCGCCTGCTGGAGGGCAGCCTGCCGCTGCCGCGACGTGAACGGCTGCTGGGGACCCACTGCGCCAAGAAAACAAGAACACGTCTGCCAAGCGACGCAAGCCCGGGTCGGCCGCATCGTCCAGCCGCGGCTGGAGGAGGTGGTCAATTTCCAGGTCCGGCCGTCACCCCGCGGCAGCGGCGCAGAAATACGTCTGGTTCCAAGCCGCGTGGTGGCAACCGTGCACGTCAAGCACGTTGTCGCACAGGGGGCGGTGGCCCCATCCTGGCAGACCTCCGCGGCCAGACGGCACTGCACCTCAGTGCAGATCTGGCTGGCTCCGTGCTGAACTTCATGGCCTTGCTGGGCATGGCCGTCAACCAACCGGAGGAGCTGAGCAACGTCTCCGACAACACTGCGGCACGGACAGCAGGGCTGACACGCGCCAGGCGGTCGCGCCGGCTCGCCTCGTCTGGTGCGTCAGGCAGCTTCCGCTGCGAGGCCCAGCAACTGGCGCGCAGCCTGCGCCAGCAGCTTTGTTTTTAGAGTAGCGACCGCGTGCTGTAGGCCAGAACCGGCATCGCCCGCGTCCCAGCGGAAGCGGACGTCGACCTGGGTGGAAAGGGCCCTCGTGGCGGCACGTGAGGCGAGGTACGCAGCGGACTCCGGGGGCCCAGCCCTGCGTGTCCGAAGCCAAGCGCGGCCTGTTACCACTCGTCCTCGTTGGGTTGAAACCCGAAGATTTCAGCACAGGTGTCGCGGACCGAGCTGTCGAAGTCGGCGAGGGGAGCAGCCGAAGTTTCAAGGTGCGCGCTGCGTGCGCCATCTTGCAGAAGTCAGCGCGCTGCCCCAAGAGGCGGTAGCCGACCTGCGGGTCGGATTGTTCGGACACAGCTTGCGAGGCGACCTCGGCATCTGAAGCCCGCCTGGCGAGCTCCGCGCTGCAGCGGCCCGCCGAACCGATCGGTGCACCCAGGAGATCGATATCGCCCCACGAATTCATCCTGCCCTCGCCAGTCTCGTCCTTGCCGTCGCTCGGACGTCTATGTCCCGTGCATTTTTCGGCTTCGTGCGTGTTTTTTTTCCTCGATGGTCCAGGATGGTCCTCGA